GGCCCAAAATTTTTTTTTTGTAAATTTTGTTTTTCTTTTTAATATTTATAGAAATAGAATTTATGAAAATATTAATCAAATATGATATAATAAGAAAAAATTTAGAACATTTTGAAAATTAATATGAAATGAAATTTTGTACTAATTCACAAAATTTTTTGGCCACAAAAATTATTAAGAATCAATCATAATACATATCTATAGATAGCTCAAGTAATGATGAAACCAAGACAACACAATTTGGTGTGTATTAAAATTAGAGTAATAAAATTGTTTTATTATTTATTTATTTTAATTCAGACACATCTTCTAATGCAGCAGTTTCTAGTATTTCGTCTTCACAACCTTTATCACCTCAAGGTACCACATAGTGCAAAATTTTTGAAGCCTATAAATTTCACAAATTTGCCTAAAAATCTGTTTTGCAGATTTAATTTTTTGTGACTTTATACCGTCTGCCATTTTGTGCCCTAATAATTTAATTTTTGCTGAAGTAATTTTCACAAATCTGAAATTTACTGCCCTCGGAGATTTTGCACTATACGGCATATACCATGTATATGTACCACTTGTACTTTGTATGCATAAAATTTGAATTTTTTCTGTTAAGCATTTGCAGATAAAAATTCACAAAATGACCTATCTATTTTACTAAACAAGGTGTAGCAAATAAAGTCAAATTTAGTTTTTAAATATTTTCCACCCACAAAATTAGCAAAATTTATTATCCATAAAATATAAGTGGTATACATAAGGTACCTTTTATACATACTACAAATGTAATAATATCTTTTGTATAGTTGAAATACAAATCCCTGTATCAAAATTTGGTGATTGGCAAATTTTAATTTGGTGAATTAGTGGCCATGTGCCATTGAACATGCGTATAATGGCTCAAAATGGCAGATTTTTATTTTGGAAAATGGCTATCAAAATGCCGAATTTGCCAAATTTAATTTGCTCCAAAATTTCCTGCTATACGGTAGAATTAGCAAACAACAAGTAACTGTGTCTGGAGGATATCTTTACATTTCTCCCTCTCTCTTTTCTTCTTTCTATATTCCTGCTAATAGCAAAAAAGTTATAATACAAGAAGCTCACTCATTCAATGAAAAACATTTTGTAGGATCTGCTTGCACTTTTATGTACTTCTACTTGTATGTTGAAGAAGTAAGTAATTATTGATATTAAAAATACACGTATGCGCATACAATGTACTGCACATGTACATGTACATTGTCTACATGCATTTACATGTATGTATAAATTTTGACTATTTTGTTTTGATGCTTTTCTCTTTTGTACATGTCATTACTTAGACTTTCTGGTAAATGTACATGTACAATGTACATTGATGCCCCTATGGCATATGCTACATGCACATGTATGTATGAAGTTTGAACTGGTTCCAACAACAATTTTTTGTTTATGTCTGTCGTCATTTCTGCAATGCACATGTACCAAAATTTGTGATACCCAATGGGGTGCTAAATTTTATTTCTTGATATTGCTAACAAAAAATTTTTTATTAAGCATTGACAATTTGATGAATACTATCATTTTAACTTACGTACGTAATACTATATAATATGTGTTGTGAGCATTTCAAAATATTGATTCTAAACAATGAGGACTGTAATGATGTATAGCCCTATTCTTCACAATTTGAAGGAAACTCTAGTAATGTTATTTTACTGTATGAATGCACATGCACGTACATGTACATACTAGTTTGAAGTTAATTCTGTAATTTTATGTGTTTAAACTAATTTTCGAAACTGATAGTATACGTACATGTGCAAGTAAATATAGTTATTGTAGCTCCGAGTGGAAACTGTCTTGTCAATTTGGAATTTGTCTGGACAAGTAGCTAAAACAGAGTGCAAGGTTAAAGGGCTGATTGCTCTATTTTTTAGCCATGAGACTTGAAGTGGATGTAGGCAAACAAAAGGATTTGTTCTAATTGAGTATTTTTGGTTTCAAAGTCAGCTACATGTATGTGTACATGTATATCACAAATTAATTTTAAAAGAGGAATTGACTGCTTAGCATTTAGCACACTGAATACAATATTATTGTGAGGTCACTCAGGCACTGTACATGTAGTAAAAAATTAGTTTTATACAGGTATGTCATAAATTTTGTTGTGACAAGATTATTTCATGTACAAGTATTAATTATATTTTATGGTTCTGCACACCCATCATATTTTAAGTACTAAAGAAAAAGATAGAATTCCCTATGTTTAAAACACCTTATACTTAAGTACATCTACTTCTATAGTTATATAGGCGATAGCCTATATGTAGGATTCAGGTGGATTTTTCAAGTTGGCGGCCGTTTTTATAATTTTTAAATGCTTATAACTCTTTTATCTTACATTGTACAGCCTTATAAATGACTTAGATGGGCTTTCCTTCACTGAGCGATTCTCCTGGTACCTTTAAAGTGGACTATAATGTAGCGGGAGCTTTTCTGGAAAACAGGCCCGAATTCAAATTTCTGGCAAAATTCTTCAGACTTTTTCTTCTTTCTTTCATCTTTCTTCTAGTGTTGTATTGGTATACCATTACTAATACTAAAAGTAATTTGGTACTGGGTCATGAAATTTGGTATATCATAACTAAAACTAATACTAAAAGTATTAAAATACCATAACTAAAACCAATACTAAAAATAGCACAAATTGCTTTACTAAAATTTATAACCAATATTCATTTCTATGCAATACATTTGGTACAACAATGTTCACTGAAGGGTAAACAGATTAGATTGATATCACTAGATTATCATGTGCAAATTCATGAAGCACATGTTATGTGTAGCTATCTTAGTTGCAAAATGGCTACTAGAAGTGGAAGACTAAGGAACAGTAACGTATGGGACTACTAATTAATACAATTAATTTTAATACAATTAAATCATCATTAGTCTAAGATTAATAGTATGACTAGAGTTAGTTTTGTTAAATTATATGTACTTACTATAATCTACCAAAATTAACATTTGTTACCAATACCAATAGAGTTTTACTTTCGGTAAAATTACTAAAACTAATATCTATAAATCATGAGAATTGGTGAAAATACCATAACTAAAACCAAATCCAAAATGTAATACCAATACAACACTACTTTCTTCTATCAATTCGATTAACTTCTTATAGAGACAACCTCTTAAGTTGGTTTATACATAGTTCGGATCACCTATAGTTACCGGTCCCCAGGAAATAGTGGGTGGGTGCGTCAGGAAATGACGTCACATGATTGGAAAAAATGGCGACTGAAAAGAAGCAGTACTAGGGACTACTAACACCTTGGGAACGCTCTAAAATAAATAAAAAAACTAAACCCTAACCCCAACCCTAAAACAATAGCTAACTAGGGGACTCCTAACATAAATAGAGGACATAGCTAACTAGGGAACATAGCTAACTAGGGACACCTAAGCTAATTCAAAGCACTGATTGCGTGAGTTATTTCCTGCACGCCCACCCACTATTTTCTGGGGCCGATAACTTTAGGAGATCCCATAGTTCGACAGCATTTGAGTCAAGGATGTGCACCAGCAGGTTAAAAAGAAGAAAGGATGCATAAAGAACTTAGAAGTTGGTAGAAATTCCAGGTGGATATCATCACGTGGGTTTGTGGTTTGACGCCATTTTAATTTTGCGCACGTGATAAGCATGAATATAATTAACCTAACCACAGAATCATAACAGAATGTAATCTCTTAATTCAAGAAAATTCAAGAAAAAAGAATGGAAACAAGTAAATAAAAACATTGAAAATGGGAAAATAGTAGGATTGAATGAGGAAAAAGTAAGGAGACAAGAGGGTACTTGCAAACTGGTGTGGTAAGAAATC